AAAGCGGGCATTTTATCATCTTGACAGTGTACAAACTCAGCCATAGCTTGTTTAATTCATGAAAACCTGTGTTTATGTGTGAGACTGGCTTTTACCCAGTATGGAGAAGCTTCTGTGTTGGCAGTCTCCCGCCAGCATGTAGCTGCAGTCTCCAGGGAACTCATAAATCACACCGTCAAATGTGTGTATATGCTGCCGGCTAAACAGACTACAGCGACCAGACCCCTCGACTGACACCAAACCTACAGAACAAAGAGGTAAAGAGAGTTAAGCACTTGCACAATAGATTTTAATCAAAGCAACAGCTAATGTTCAAAAGTTTGGGGTCAGTAAGATTTTAAATGTTTTCGAAAGAACCCAGCCTGCATTTGTTTGATCAAAAATACAGTAAAAACAGTAATATTGTGAAATATTATTACAATTTAAAATAACTGTTTACTATATTAATGAATTTTAAAATGTCATTTATATTTGTGATAGCAAAGATGAATTTTCACTGTTAGCTAATCCTTCAGAAATCATTTTAATATGCTGATTTGATGTTCAAGAATAACATTTATTATTATTATTATAATGTTGAAAACAGTTGTTCTGTTTAATGTATTTGTCGAAATCTTGATATCTTTTTTCAGGGTTGAATTATGTATAGAAAACAAAAAACAGCATTTACTTAAAATATCTTAAGTCTTTACTTAACTTTACTTTTGATCAATTTAATGCATCATTGCAAAATAAAAGTAAAAAAAAAAAACATAACATTTAAGAAACATCTAAACAAAACCAACAGACAGGAGTTGCAAACATGTACAAGCATCCTCGATTCTAACCTGAAAAATTCAAGATGAAAACACACAGGATTCTACTCCATCCTTTCCATCTGCACTGTTCCATCTGATTAAAGAAAAAGAAAGAAATCATAAGAGACTTAGTCCAGTTAGTAATCAACTCAACCACCCAGAACACCATAGGAAGCATACTGCATTGCAATGTTAAGGGACACTGTACTTTTTTCCCACAAAATGTAAAAGTCTAATGCACAATTGCTGGCCATCAACAATATACTGAAGTGAGCATTTGGGGGTTTCATTTAGTGAAAAATAATAGCAGGAGCCAAAGCAAAAGTTCAGCTGGAAGTGAGAAACAAAGCAGAAATCTCTGAGCACCTACAAATCTGTCAGAGAGTTAACTCATGTATTCCACATAGACGGCACAGAAAGAATGCTGTTATTCTTGAACATGAGCTTAGAACGGGAAAACTGAGCATGATATATTCACAAACACTCACTGTACATTACCATGCATGCTTAAATAGCAAAACATAAGCCTTAAACAAGCAAACAGATGTACAATCGCTAATACAAGGATTTGAAATAATCACAGAAACAAATGCATATTTAATGCATTTTTAAGATAGCATGCTGATAGTGTGACACCTGTTACCTTTGACCTCTGACCTCTGCCCAGGTGCAGGCTCCCAACAACAGGTTCTCTGAAGTGCTTTGCTGTGCAAGGTCTTCGCTGTCCAGTGTCTCACAATCCCGAAGACATGACTAGAACCCAGTCTAGAAGGAAAGAACTGATTTATAAGAACGAGAGAGGGAGGGATGGTGTGATTTCCGTTTTTAAACTCATTAAGAGAGGACAATAGGAGGAAGTCTGGGCATTGTAGGAACTGAAGGATTAGTCTGGCAGTGAAGACAGATAAGACAAACCAACATTAGTGCCAAGCCAAACAGCACACACACTCACACAAACCGCAGCATATGAAGTGAGTTCGCAGCCTCTGTGATGTAACCCTTCTCTGAAACTGATGGATTAACTGTTGGAAAAACCTCACTGCAATGGCGTAATCAGAGCATGTTCACATGAACTCCATGCATTCATCATTAATATAGGCTTTTTCATGCTACCTTTTATTGTAGACCCTGAACTTGCTGGCAAAAACATGAGTTCATGTCTTACACCATATCCTTGCTTCCAGATTGTACAGTATATTTGACACAGTACTGAAAAGTAATTTGAACAAAGGCCCAACAATATGCTAATATATTAGCATAAAATAGACTGAATAGGAAAACTGACCACTTTAAAGGACCCAAAAAATGGAAATTTGCTGAAAATGTACTCACCCTCAGGTCATCCAAGATGTAGATGAGTTTGTTTCTTCATCAGAACAGATTTGGAGAACTTTAGCATTACATCACTTGCTCAGCAATGGATCCTCTGCAGTGAATGGGTGCCGTCAGAATGAGAGTCCAAACAGCTGATAAAAACATAATATCATAATCCATAAGTAATCCATGTGACTCCAGTCCAACAATTAACATCTTGTAAAGTAAAAAGCTGCATGTTTAAATCCATCAAGTTTTTTTTTACTTTAAACTGTTGTTTTTGGCCTAAATACCCAAAATAGTCCATAATACATAAAAACACTATCCATTTCATGTTGTTCTCTCACATCAAAATCCACCAACATATTTGTTTAGAACTGATTTGGACTGTCGATTTGCTTGATTTGTGCATATTTCTCTTCTGATTCAGACAAGACCATTTTTTTTTTACTACAGAAAGGTGTATAATGGATTGTTTTTGGCAGAGTACAGTCTTTGATGTCAATAAAAAGTTAATAGACTGAGAGAGAGGGGGGGGGGGGGGG